GAAGGGAAAGTGCTCTTCCAGCCCCGGCGTGAGGGAAGGCAGCAGCAGGTCTTCCGAACCCCTTTCTTCCGTCTGTCCTACCAGGGTTCTTTCTGTCCAGAGTCCCAGAGGCCAGCACAGGCGATGCCCCTGCGCGTTCTCACCGACTCCTATCCGTGTTCACTTTTGAACGAGTCGGGTGCTCCCACGTGGCAGTGAGGAGAAATTAGGTTCCTCTGGCTACGCAGTTAGACCAGGACCAGCTCCAACATGGAGGAAAAGTGACTCAGCTTAAAAAACACAAAACAAAAAAGACAACAAACAAACAACCAGTCCCGCTCCCATCAAGAGCGCATGCGCTCTTTGTGGCTCTAGATCCCACCTTGGTCCCGCCCCGCCTCCAGCCTCCAGCCTCCAGCCAATCAGGAGTCTTTTCCATGCCTGTGTAGATGGGGGATCCAATCATAGGGCTGCTTCTGTGTTTGTGGCCCCAAGCAGGAGAACCAATCATGAGACTCCTCGTGGCACATAGCTATCCCTTGACCAATCAGAAGCATAACCTTGGGGAAAAGGACGGGGGGGGGGTGGTTTGAGGTGGTGGGGAGGGCTATATAGAGAACAGGCCCTGCTGGGGACTGTGGTCTTCAGCGCCCGGTCAGTTTTGCTGGTTTTTTGCTTTCAAGTCTGTCTGCTTCAGCGACTTTATGGTCCTTTAATTCTTTAATTGGTGGAGAAAATGAACCTGAACCTTAGACATCATCACTGGCGTTGATCTCGAGATTTGAGATGTTGTCTTTACCCAGAATGCATTCCAGGTTTACCACAGATACCATCCTGGACTATGACGGCCCTTAGCAAGCATTTCTTAGGAAAGGCTAGAGCCCAGGAGGGTTACATGAGGCGAACACAGTGGTTTTAAGGCCGTGTACGTAGGGTTAAAAAGTGCTGTTGGCTAAGCTGTGGGAAGAGCTGCTGCTGTATCTGGGGATAGGCTCTCCAAGCCGCCTTCTGCTGACTCCACCGACAGCTCTCCTTTTGTGACCTTTGCATCCTTTCTGGTTCCACCTGGGTTTTTGTCTACCTGTGAATTCCTTCCTCAGTCTCGCTTGTGTTGCCTAGGTGACCCACTCCTGCTTCTAACTTGAATTCTCAGCCCATCCTCGTTTGCCAGCCCTCCTTTCTAGAACGTTTCATTTCTTCCTGCACAGACTCTTGGGGCTGACCCCTAGTGATTTCAACCTCCATGGGTGCCATGGGAGTCTCATTAAGGGATAAAGAAAAATAAAATGAAAGAATTTAAATAGTTCCTAGAAAACCAGTGCAAATGATGCTTAATACAGAACATGTATCTTCACGCCACAACCTGTGACCAGCCTTGTCTCATCATGAAAATGAATACCCTCCCCTCCCCCGAAAGGACCCTTCTTTCCCTTTCTCTTTCATTCCTGATTGTTGAAGTCTTCATTATTCTTGCTAGCTTGTGTCCTCTATTTTCTCTTCTCTGGGGCTGTCGGTGGAGCAAGGACTCAGTAATAAATGTTCTACCAGGAATTTCACTCGCCTCCCTTGGAGAGATGCTGTGAAGGCTCCTGGGTTTATGGCAGCTTTGCTTGCAGGGCATCTGGGGTGAAGAGCCTGAGCAAAAGCCTGAGCAATGCCAGGTTTTCTGGGAACCATTCCCACCCTTGGCTTCAATCCAGAAGCTACCTCTTGTACCAAGGTGGCTGAAGGTTCAAGACCATGGGCTCCTCTCTCTTGCTTACCACATTCTGGCTATGCTTTATAAAGTATTATATACCTTCCAGTTTGGCAGGAAAGTAGAAGGTGAGGGTAATAGCTTGGGATCCCATAACAGCTCTCAAGGTCCACATTTTAGTTCTGTGATCTTGAGAAACTTCTCTTTGTCTATCCAAAAACACACAGGGAACAAAGTGGGAAAATACAGGCAAACACTGCATGAGGTTGAGAATCTTAGTACTGCAGGTTCATCTTTTTGAGAATTTACTAACAGCATCCTCCACAGCAGAACGAGGCAGAAGAAAGAAAAGCAGGGGCAAAGGCAGAGCTCTCTAATAGAGGGTAAGCTGAGAATGTGTGAGGCCCTGCGTTAATCCCTAGCATCCAAAAAACCAGGATAAATAATAAAAGAGGAATCTGAGTGTTCCAGGAACTCTTGCGCACTGACCTCCAGAAACAAAGGTCACCACCACCAAAGACATTGTGCGCTTCTACCCAGCCACCCCCTCATTCACTGGAGGGGAGTTTTGGTCTGCTCTCAGTAGTTCTGCAAGCAGGATGACTTTAACAGGGTTGTCCTGGTGGACAAATGTCTTTCCCTGTCCAGGATGATTGGTGATCTAGTGAAGGTTTTATACTCATGTGACTACATTATTGACTTATTTCAAGGCCTTAAAAATAAGGAGGTATGGGACAAAGTCTGTCAATCGAAAAGGATTGATCAATAAATGGTAGATATGTTTGCTTTGATCATAAGTTTGGCTTTTAATCATGGTTTTGTAATTGGCAACAGATTCTGATAGAGAATCAATTCCATTCACCAAAATGATTATCAAATGGATTCCCTGGTCCTGTGGGAGACTGAAATGTTCATCTATATAACCAAAATCACGAGGCTGTGACTGTCCCAGTCAGTTCAGTGGCCACACAATACCACAGTCTGGGAGGTTTAAGCAACAGATACTTCTAGAAGTTAAAAAATCTAGGTGCTCTTCAGACTTGAATACAGTGAGGGCTCTCTTTCTGGCCATCTTTCTGCATCCTTAATTAGAATAGAGAGGGGAACTTGGTTTTGACCCCTTAGAAGGCCACCAACCTCATCAAGGGACCTTATCTTTCAGTTCTGTCGCATCAGAGAATAGGGCTCAACACAGGAACAGAACTGGAAAAAACAATGACCATTTTTTTTATTTCTTTAACCTGAATCTAGGGGATTTGTTATTACATAATCACAAAGACAGATAAAATGCAGAGGTAGGTCTGCAGTGCCCAGTCTAGTCATTCTAGGGAGATATGGCTTAATCAGTACTGACAAAGGGGAGTATGGTTTACAACAGCTGACTCCTCCATTTGCTTCACACTGTTCACCTTAGGAGGAACTTCTATGTTCCTTACCTTATTTGGTATGACTTCTGTTGCCTGAATAGATGTGAACTTTTCCTCAGTAAGGAGGGACCCTCAACCACATTACCATAGCCACTATCTGGCCAGGTGATCACAGGTGTTTTCCAATAGTCAGCTAAACAGTGGTCCTTCCCTATTTATTTTTTCTCTCTATATGTATAAATATATATGTACATGTATACATAGATGTATACATCTATGAATACATATATGAATATATGGGCTATATACATATACACACATATGCACATATATGTATATATGTGTGTATATATGTAAATATACCCCATACACACACATACACATACATATGGGCCTGGACGCTGTCCCTGAGCTCTTTTTGCTCTACCACTTTGAGTCACAGTTCCACTTCTTGTTTTTTGGTGGTTAATTGGAGGTAAGAGTCTCATGGGATTTTCCTGCCTGGGCTTGCTTTGAACCGTGATCCTCATATCTCAGCCTCTTGAGTAGCTAGGATTAAAGGCATGAGCCACCAGCACCGACTTTTGGCATATGTTTTAATTGTACAAAGGGGTTTCGTGGTGATGTTTCCATACATGTACTTTGATCAGATTTACCCCCTCTATCCTGTGGTGTTTTTCTTTTTAAAAAATGCCATCTGAAGTTAAAATGGAATAATCTTGTTTATGCAAGACAGTTGAATTAGGGGCCGTTCCACAGATGCATTTCATTAAGTCACTGTAAATACTGGTGGAATTTTTTTCATTCTCCAGTGGTATTTTTATTTAGAACCAGGAGGGTTTGTCAGGTAACTCCAGGGGCAGACAGTGCTGTGCACAGTGAAGAGAAACCCAACATCAAACTCACGCCATCACACCAACATCAAAGCATTCTTTTCCATTCATGAGCACACAGGAAGGTAAGGAGGGGGCACAGAAATGGAGGGACAAAGGATGACCAAATGCAGCAGTGGTACTCATATAGCCCCTATGTTGAAAATGAACCATACACTTGGATGTGGGGATGGGAAGGGAAAAACTGGGAGAAGGTGAGGGAAGGGGTGACATTGTCCAAAAAGAAATGTACTCATCACCTGAGTTATGTAATTGCAACTCCTCTGTGCATCACCTTGATAATAATGATGAACAATTAAAATTAAAATAGGACACACAGGCCAGGCATTTTGGCTCATATCTGCAATCCCGGCCATTTCAAAGGCAAAGATCAGGAGGACAGAGGTTCACCCCAGCCCAGGCAAACATACAAGATCATATCTGAAAAATAACTCCAGTAAAAACGACTGGGTGACCTGGCTCAAGTGATAGTACCTGCCTAGCAAGAGTGAGGCTGAGTTCAAACACCAAACCTACAAAAAAAAAAAAGTAGGACACACAGTTCATTCCTGTACATTTATTTTTATTTCCTTGTTTATGCTGGCATTGAACTCAGTAAGCTTTCTTTCCACCCTGTTGCTTTATATTTATATGTATCACGTGGCAAGAACTATGCTTTCAGTATGTATAGATTTAAACTTATTCAGAAACTTTATTTAAAAACAGAAAAAACTCCAGTACCCTATAAGCGATAACAGGAATATTCCACAACTTGGGAAATCACTTTTGATATGACAGTGTTTCCAGTGTCCTCTGCTTAAGCAGGTCCAAAATGTCTGGTCAAGGCCAAACCATCTGCCTTTTTGGGAATTTTATTTCTGGGCTCTGACTCTGTGTTCAATAATATACTGTCAGCTTGAGCTCCATTTATGTTAAATCAATACTCGGTGTCACACTGAGCTAAAAGGCCAAGTGCCCTGGATCAAGTTTATCACTGAATGCATCTAGGATAAATTTAAAAATCACTGGAACCATAACACACTAGCTGTGTCTCCATGGCGATGACAACTTCGTGGGTGATTCCACAGGTACTAAAGAGGATTCAGAGCAGTCGGGAGACACACTTCCAGAAGAAAAAACAACCAGCCAAGAGACCGTATTAACTACCTTCACCACAGTGACCACAGACCTGTTAACTGAAGAGACAAACTCCACATACCCGCCTGATGCTGAAAATCAGTTAGAGTTTCTATTGATGGTGTTGATTCCCTTGATTTTGTTGGTCCTTCTCCTTGTATCTGTGGTCCTCCTTGCAATGTATTTTAAAAGGAAGAGAACAAAGCAAGGTAAGTATTCGTCTTATTCTTGTTTTTTGGATAAATGTCCACACACGTCCAGAAACAATCACAAATACTTTTTATTTTTCACAGAACCTTCCAGCCAAGGATCTCAAAGTGCTTTGCAGACATGTGAGTGTTATCTTGACATTTGTTTGTGAAGTAGCTGGGGATGAGATTGAAGGGCTGAAATGTTTTAAAATTAAGCAACATGGTTGGCTTAATGTAGATAGCAACTTGTAATATATGTCAAGGAACATTTCCCAGAAGTTAATAAGAGACTCACTATCAAGTCTCTCACAAGAGACTTGGCTCAGTGTCCTTTACACCTGCTCACAGGGTACCTGTGGCTTTGAGGTGGCCTTGCCCAGCAAGCCTTGTCCCTTGTCCCCACACCAGGCCAGTCCTCAGCAGGAGTGGTAAAGGCTGCTTACACAGCCAGCAGCGGAGGCAGCTGTGGGCCTCCCTTTCACCATGGCTGGCAGAAGTGACACAGAACAAGTAGGAAATACTTGTTTCTGTACTGCTCAAAATTTCAGGGTGACCTAGGAACAGAAGTCACATGGGAGCTCCCTTATAAGCTAAAGATAAAAACAAGAGTCAACTGAGTTGCCTAGACTCCTCTTGTCCTTTCTATTTTCCTGTTGAGAGTCTCAGTGTGTTGCCTAGGGCAACCTTGAACTCAACGAGGTAATAACAGAATGATTGATTGATTGATTGATTGATGCTGGTCCTGGGGTTTGAACTCAAGGCCTGGGTGCTGTCTCTGAGCTGCTTCTGCTTAAGGCTAGTGCCCTTCCACTTGAGCCACAGCACCACTTCCAGCCCTTTTTGAGTAGTTTATTGGAGTTGAGAGTTTCATGGACTTTCCTGCTTGGGTTGGCTTTGAACCACAATCCTCACATCTCAGCTTCCTGAATAGGTAAGATTATAGGGTTTTTTTTTATTTATTTAAAGAACACCTTTTACTCTCAGAGGTACAAACACATTTGTACATTATCCTTGCTACATTTTAAGAAAATACAACATAGAAAATGGATTGGAAATTATGATTATTATTATTATTTTGGTGCTTGGGCTGGAACATGGGTCCTCAAGTTAATCTCGTGGATTGACCATCAAGCTACCCACCTGTATCCCCTAAATTATCTTTAGTCTTTCCATGTTCAGGAAAAGGGGGAAAAAAACCCAAAACCTGGGCTGGGAAGTTGGCTCAGTGGTAGAGTGCTTGCCTTGCATGCATGAGGCCCTGGGTTCCATTCCTCAGCACCACATAAGCAAAAAGAAAAAAGCTGGAAGTGGCGCTGTGGCTCAAGTGGTAGAGTGCTAGCCTTGAGCTGAAGAGCTGAGGGACAGTGCCCAAGCCCAGAGGTCAGGCCCCACGACCGGACCCAAAAAAAAAAAAACAACCCAAAACCTTGTGTAGTTGAACATTCTGCTCTCCTCCTTACTGGAACTGCAGACATGAAACTTGCAGTTGGTGGTATTTAACATTTCCTAAGTGTTTTCATGTGCTGGGTGTCTGAAAGAACTGCAGAGAAAACAGTTGGCAGGAAATCATTGCTCAAAACAGACTGGCTGCACGACGCCTAGCTATGCTTAGTACATGTCTGGGGAGACAGCCTATGTGCACTTGCCAGCAGAGAGCCAGAGCCTCCCGCCCCAGCTCCGACCCCAACCCAGCCCAACAATCCTGGCCAGGAGCGGGGTGACAGTGTCATCAGGCAAAGGAGAGGGATGAGAGGCTATGAAACAGAAGGACCGGAAGAGGCAAATGGAATCAGGTCGGGAGGGGGCTGCATAGAGCCGCGTTTGCCCCAAGTTGCCAAGGGAGTAGGTGGCAGTTAAAACCATGTGGGCCAGGTGGAGCGGAGTGGCGGGGCCTGATTGCTGAGGACAAGTAATTGGTCTCCCTCCTGGCTTAATGCTCTGCTCTGTGCGCTCTCCCGGATGTTTCTCTGTTGCCATGGTGGCTGGGCCAGGGGGTAATGGCCTTGGAGCAGGGGAGACGAGGCCACAGAAGGCTTTTTGCTCTTTTTTAATACTGATTACAGGAGCTCCCATTTGGTACATCTGGAGCACTTGGGTAATGGGCTTTTAAACTTCCATCATCTGCATGCGAGCTAGCTCCCGCTCACCTCCAAGCCTGCGGAGACTCAGATTATAGAGATAAATTCATGCTCACTGCAGTGGGGTTGTACAGCCGCTTGCTCTCTGGGAAATCAGGGGTGGGGAGGGTGAGGAGGAGAGAACGACAACAGGAGGATCTTTATGAGTCACCTGTAGGGAGGTCTAATTGTGTAGGGGCTTTGTTTATAGTAAAATTCCTTAAGGACATAGCCTATAAGTTTTAGATTAAAGCTATAATACATATACACATATGTGTGTGTATATATATATGTATATAATATATATTATATATACATGTATATATATTATATATGCATGTAATATATATTATATATATAATAGACCTCCCTCGGGCTTCTACCTTCAGTCTAAGTTGGTGAGGATTCAAGCAGCTTCAGAAATTGCTGGATTCCCCTCAGGTAGGGGAAGAAGGTGCTGTTTATAGCCCTCCCCCCATCCCCCCAAGGAGAGCAGTGATGGCAGGAAGTTGTGCCCAGCTCTCCTGGACTAGCAGCGATGCTCAGATGTCAATAGCTGTCACCTCATAAAGGGTTCAGGAGTCCTGTGGTATTCGCTCACTAGATGTCCACTGCGCCACTTCCCCAGGTATGTGTGCCCTCCCAGTAAATGTAACAGCTGGAGCCAGGGCACCAGGCTCTCATTCTTTCCACATGAGTCTGATTTGCAGGAGAGTTATTTTGTCAACGGCTACCTGACTCATTCTCCAGCCAACAACAGCAGGTTGTTGGAAGATTTCATTATTAAAATAACAATAACACGGAGTCCCCAAAAGACTGTATTTAACCCCAGGGCTGGACCATTGAGATGAATACCAGCTCATTTATTTAATAAATATTTACAAGGCATGTGCCAGGGATGGTGTTAGCAAGGAAGGGGGTTGGGTAGGGCACAGCAGGCAGCACAGACATGGTCCCTGACCTCTGGGAAATATGGACCAGTGGGAGCCAGCAAATGAACACCATCACACATGGGCTGATCAGTGAGAAATCCTGGCCAATACTCTGAAGGAAGCAAGCAAGCTGGGGAACAATGGAAAAGAAGTCTTCCTTGAATGGAGGGTGGAGAATTGAAGACGAGACCCGGGGATTGTTTCTGCTGGTCCTGGAGCTTGAACTCAAAGCTTGGATACTGTCTCTTAGCTTTTGTGCTCAAGACTAGTGTTCTACCACCTGAGCCATAGCTCCACTTCCAGCATTTTGGTAGTTAGTTGGAGATAAAAATCTCACAGACTTTCCTGCCCAAGCTGGCTTTGAACCACAGTCCTTGGATCTCAGCCTCCTGAGTAGCTAGGATTATAGGCGTGAGTCACTGCTGTCCAGCCATTTTAGAACTATTTGTTGGAGCCAAAGCTAAAGTTCTCTGGTGTAACCTTTTCACTCCTTACCTCCTCCTGCGGATGTGCAGTGCTCTCAGACCACTCCACCCAAATCTACACAGACGTTTCAATATGGCAGTCTGTACCTGGACCTTAATTCTTACCCAAAATGTGATTCGCTTAAGCTATTGCATTCTCTTTGCAAAGGAGGTTTCAAGTTGCAGAGGAACACAGCTAACATGACCTTTGCATTGATTCCTTTTTAGATGAACTGGGAAGTGAAACCCTGAAAGTGTAAGTCCTACCTCCCACCTCCCACCCTGCTCCCTGTTTCCTGGGTTCCTGGGACTCTGAGTCGCTGGGGTCACTGGCTAGCTGAGTGATGGAAAAGCATAGTTAGGGTCCTCCAGTCTTTTTCTGTCTGTTACCAATGCCTAGTGCATAGTAGTTAAAAGTAGTTAAATATTCTGTCCCTGGATGTGTGTGTGTGTGTGTGTGTGTGTGTGTGTGTGTGTGTGTGTGTGTGTGTGTGTAAAGTTGGTTTCTATATAATGGTTAGAACTTTGATAACCAGGAAAGATACTTGAGCTGTTGTAGAAAGATTGCACTGTGTGAACCAGCAAGAGAAAAGAGAATAAGGGAGAGACAAAAAGGGAGGGACAGAAGAGAGGAGGGGGAGGAGGAAGTGGGGAGGAGTTGAGATTCATGGAAGACTCCACCCGATATGTTCTAGGGTAATGCCACCCTTGCCCTTCCAATAGCCTCAGATTTAGAAACTGCCCACATCCTTTCCCCAGTGAACCTCCTGGGCTGCGTTCACAGTGGATGGTCGCTCCTCTCCTACCCCATTGTCACTAACTCCCTCTGTCTGCTGCCTGGAAACCCAGAGCCCTGGAGGACTGAGGCTGAGGGAGGTTGAGGGAGGGGTTTTCTGAAAGCAACAGCTCCGTGCCCTCTACTTAGAAAAACCTGTGAATGGAAAGAAGATGTGACCAAGGTTGCCTGTTGACCGTGGCCTCTTGATCTGGGGCACTGATCAAAAACCCCAAGGAAAGAGAAGTGAAATTAAGCAAGGCTAAAATGCTAAGTGTGGCAACTCCCCTGAGTGGCCTAGCAGTCTTCACTTCAGACCTCGAGGGCTGCATGTCCTGGGGGTCCCTTTTCACCCATATGGCTGGCTCGGGGACTAGTTTGGAATCAACAATAGAGGTGGGTTTGTGGTAGTGTCTACTTTGCCTCCTATTAGAGGCGGATACTCTTCTGAGTAGGGCAACTCCCCACTTCCCTTACAGGCTAGCCAGTTTTGTCAGATACTAAGTCAAGTTCAATTTCCTCCCAGTCAACATTCTAGAGTCCCCAAGTGAAGTTCGGCACTTAAAAAAAAAAAAAGGAAACAAAAACAAAGCAAAAAACAAGCCTTTTTGTCCTTTGTGTAGGCCTATTTTTGAGGAGGATACACCCTCGGTCATGGAAATTGAGATGGAAGAGCTCGATAAGTGGATGCACACCATGAATAGAAGTGGTGAGTGGAAACCGAAAGCATTTTGCTTTCCTCCATAGTAATCCAAGGCTGCAACAATGCTGTAAGTAAATTCCTCAATAAAGGAATTTACTGGACGGAGCCCAGTTCACATTCCACTTAGTGCGTACTGACAATAACCTTAGGCCTGCCTGGTCCTTATATATCCACGTTAGGTGTTGCCATTTCTTTTTTTGTCCAAGTTGTTGAAATGACCATTTTATTAAAAAAAAAAAAAAGCAAAAAGTGGTTTCTTTTTCTCTTCCTTCCTTTTTCCTTTCCTTCCCTTCCACTTCCCTTTCCCCTCCCTTCCTTCCCTTTCTTCCTTTTCTACATTGTTCTAGGGCTCAAGCTCAGCACTTTTTGCATGCTAGCCAAGAGCTCTACTTCTGAACTTCATTCCTAGCCTGGATCTTTTGAGTTTTTTCTTTGCAAGGAAATCTGAGGCCAAATTTTCTGGATAAAACATCTGATATTACCATATATATTATAGAATTTAGTGATCTATTGTTTTAATCTGCATAAGGATTTATGCTATCCAATATAATATATGTATATAGATATAATATAATAGATAGATACTAACCCTGTATGGCTATTTAAATTAATCAAATGAAAATAGAATTTAGATTTAGCTGTGTGTTTAGGGCTTCTATTCAATGGTTACTATATTAGACATTTTCATCACTGTAGGAAGTTCTGTTGGGCAGGGCTGATGTAGATTGAAATATAAGTATTCTCACATAATGATTTCCAATTGATAGCTGGCAGTAATAGTAGTATATATCGCACTACTTTCCATTAAATCAATGGTTGGTCTTTAAAATAATGACATCTGTATTTTCTTTAAAAATCAATACGTTGTTTTTCATGTGAATATATTTATATTTTTCACATTTATCTTAGATAGTCTAAGAAACATTTAGGCTCAAAACTCTCAAGTGCAACTTTCTCAGATTCACATTTTTGTATTAGAAGAATGATACTGTGCACTTGTCAAGATGCACTTTCCTAAAGATTAGAACCTCACAATGAATTTGTGCAATCTCCTATTTATTTTTCATAGTGAGGGAAAATGCATTTAAAGATAAGGCAAGTCACTGAGTTAGGGCTTAGAGTTGCATGTCATTATTTCTAGTTGTCATATTCATGCATAGTAGAAATCAGAGAATGATAAAAAGTGGTAAGAAGAGACAAATTCATCCAAAGACAATCTTTTGATATATTTCCTTTAGAGCCTGAGATTTTGTGTAACGCAAATCCACGATCTTGTCATGCTCACCAAAGCCAGGAAAATCACAGAAGGCATTTCTATTTGGCAAGGAATGCAGAGAGCTGCTTTGACATCTAGGGGATAGACCCAATAGAACTTTTCATTCCTTAAAAACAACAGGTGGTGTGAGCGAGGAGAACGCAGCTTCCTGTGAGATGGTCGCTCCCAGCTTCCCATTTCTCTTTGTGTGGCCTGACACTCCAGGACCTCAGAGGCAGACATATTTCTCCCAGCGTCTGGCCTGAAAGAAGCAGATTCTGTCTTCAAAGCAATGCTGGGCTTCCAGGGGGACTGGACCAGCATGCAGTGATAAATTGTGCCCTTCCCAGGGGGTGTGGGGGGTAAGCATAGGCAAGCTGAAGTCTTGTACCTGCATTGCTAGTGCTCGCTCCATTTCCAGAACCTTGCCGTTATGAATCTTTTAACCTCTAGAAATCTCCAGTGAGGCTCTTTCTGTGCAGGTCACCAGAGGCCAGAGAAAGTCAATGCTCAATAATGTCTGTTTTGTGGACAGAAAAGAGAATTTCAGTGACTAATGGTAAGTTTGCTTTTATTCTGTCCTAGCTGACTGTGAATATTTACCTACTCTGAAGGAAGAAAAGGAATCAAACCACAACCCCAGGTACTTTTAATTTCTGCCACAGATTCTCTGAGGATGGTGGGAAGAGGCTGGAAATCATTACAGAAATCACTCTGCCCATTTTTCCACATCAATTTAATACAGCAATTTACATGGAGGTATGTTTGTATCGGCTGGAGAAGAGTAAGTGTGCATTGTAGGTGCAAAATAAGTATCCTAGTAGCTCTTTGTATTTAGAAGTAAATTAATATTGGTATTTCCTTGTCTCTTCCAAAGAGACAAGTTGGCTTGTTTTAGTCATAGACTTTTCAATGATAACAAACGATTTGTTTACCTTGGATAGATGGATGTTTGGTAAGGAAACAGATGGAAATGATGGTTTCAAAGAGTGTAATTGTAAATAAGAATAAAAAGTAAATGCTAAAAGAACAAAAATAATCATCAAAACTGTAACCCACCTGGATGGAATTATTATAGGGGAAAAAAATTAAATGAAATCCCAAACTACATTTTCCATTCTACCACTAGGTGGCTCTGCTTGATAGAAAATTTCAGTGCATTGGGGCTTGGCTGTAATTTATTAGCATTCCATAATCTTGTTTCACTTGTATTATCTTTTGTGAGGCTAGGAATGGCCATGTTTAGGGGGTTTTGTTTGGTCAGAATTGTTTGGTCGCAAGCCTGAAGGAAACAGGAAAGATGATTTAGCAAGTTGAGGACCTGCTCTGTCAAGCAGCACTGCGAGAGAGGAGTTACTTAGTAGTTACTGGCAGGGATGTGACATTGAGGAGCAGAGAACCTGAACCTGTGATGGGAATCTTACACTGCTGTGAGAACAGATAGAGGAGGGTTTGCAAGTAGGAAAAACATCCTCCACCTCCTCTTCTGTGATCATGAGAGTTATGTGTCAGTCATCTTAAAGGTTCCCAGAATGCAGTACGGTCATCAGGCAGCCCCTGAGACCCATTGCTGCCTCAAAGACTGGTTATGAGACAGCGGAATGGAGCAGTCAGATGCTCACCCTTGGACCCTTTGTCTGCCTCGTTCCTGAGCCTCACGGAAGAGCCGACACCCCCCCCCCTTTCTCTCTGTATAACAACATCATAGACAGCAACTCAGGCAAGCCTCAGTTTTGATGAGAAGCCTCTATCTCATTGACGACTTAAATCAGTGTTGGTCCTCTGGTTTTTTGTTTTGTTTTATTTTTGGTTTGTCGGCAGAGGGGCTTGAACTCAGGGCCTGGGTGCTGTCCCTGAGCTTCTTCACTCAGGTTAGTACTAGCTCTACCACTTTAAGCCACAGCTCTACTTCTGTTTTTTCGGGCTGGTGGTTAGTTGGAGATAAGAGTTTCACAGGTTTTCCTGCCCCGGCTGGCTTTGAACCAAGATTCTCAGATCTCACCCTCCTGAGTAGCTAGGATTACAGGCATGAGCCACCAGCACCCAGCATCTCTGGGTTTTTTTAATGTTAAGATCTAACACTAGTGCAGAAAAGATTTGATCCCATTTAAGTGAGTACAAAGAATTCCCTATATCCTCCAGCTCTGCACATGCATAGTCTCCCCTGTTATCGGCATCCCCTACCACAGTGTCACCTTTTTACAATCAATAAACCTGCATTGATGTGTCATTAGTACCCAGACTCCCACTGGTATTCACCTTGGAGACTCATCTGTCCTCTGTCGCTTAAGCAGTGTGCAGGTGAATTTAATGCTTCAGAAAGTAGGTAACGGTCACTGAAGATTGAATTTAGTGACAACGTACTTAGCCATCCTCCTTATGAACACAGACTTCCAGAATCCATTTACAGAGATCATCTCTTTTGGGTATCTAACATGAAACCTCTGGCTGACAGTAAGTCCCCTTCACCATGGGAGAAAGAGAGAGTCTGATGATCATGCCATACAAGACTTGATCTCCACACCATTCCTTTGTTACAGATGTCCAGTCTTTCAGAACTTCTTGTGTATATTCTATCAGTTCTCCCTGTCTCATTGAACGGAAGGTTGTTGCTATTCTTTTGGTTTGGTAGCTGTTTTGAATCAGGATCTTACTATGTAACCCTGGCTGGTCTTGTACTTGAGATTCTCCTACCTCAGCCTCCAGTGTACTGGGATTACAGGTATCTACCACCATCCAGTTTAAAATTATGTTTTACTATCATATATTAATTGTATAATATAATAGGTTCCATTGTGACATCTCCATACATGCACATAGAATAATTTTCTTTGATCATACTACCTCTCCTATTACTCTCTTATGCCCCCTTCCTCTTGAATGGACATTTTTCTTAAGTTATAGACTCTAAAATCCAACCCAAGATTTCTTCATTGGTCCTGGGGCTAGAAGTCAGGGCCTTGCCCATGCTAGGCAAGCATTCTACCATTGAGCACACCCTCCACTGGCACCCCACTTCAAGAAGGACCAGATGAAAACAATAGGCCAAGAGAGCAAGGGACTGTGGGGGAGGAGACAATTCTCTATTCTTATTTTTCACCTTAGCATGTTTTTTCCCACAATCCCTGTTAGGCAGCCGGCATGGGACAAAGGAATAGTATTCTCAGGGGTGGGAGGAGGACAGTGGGAGAAATCTGTCCTAGCGTTGAAGAGAATTTCATCACTGACATTGCCAACAGATGATGAGAACCAAAAGAGAAAATCCATTTAGTTTGGTTTATGATTGATTGTTTAAGTTCTCCATAGAAACTTTATTGTCTCACTCCGCCCTCCAACACCCTCCTAAATGTCACTCGATATGGCACAAACAAGGAAGAGAGAGCTGCCTTTTATCCAGGCTCCCCACAGGCCAGGCGGCCTCTTCCTTTTCCCTTGAGGCATTTCTAGTTAGAAACTTTCTGGAACACTTGGTATTTCTCTCTATACTCTGATAAATAAGCACAAACAAACAGTCATGATGACTAGCAAGCTTTCATCTTCTTCCCCTTTCTATTCCTTGGCCACATTGATGGTTTACAGTGAGGAATAATGTTGGGAAAGAAGGAGTTTGATTATATTATATGATATTCTGGTGGTTTTAGGATTCTGTATGGTATGGTATTAGTAATAATAATACTAACAACAACAATAAGCCATTCACATAATGTTTTCTATAATCTAGATGCCCATGTACTACTACCTAAGAAATTAAGTCAGAGAAGGTATGAAAGACCATACTTATTTTTAAAGGACAGTAATTATATTATTTGTCCTGTCATTCATGTTTCTTAGTTCAACAGCATTTTATAAATGGGTTTCTTTAATATTTCTCCAGAAAACTCCAAGCTAGTTTAATAGAGCATTTAGAAGCAATTTCTTCCCTATTTTTGTCTTCTTTTATGTGTGTAGATGTGTGTGTGTCAAAAGTTATATCTGATATAGTTTTTCAAAAGGTATTATTGAACACCTACTAGGTGCCTGACCCTGTCAAAACAACCATTATAAGAGAAATAATCCACCTGAAAAGAGACATTAAGTGACTGGTTTGAGTCGGCATGGCAGATTTGTAATAGCTCCAATCTAGAGTGTCTTATAAAATTACATTTTCTTTTCCTTACTTAGTTAAAGCAAAAGAGATATTGCATACACTAAGGAAAAATTCTAGATTAAAAACCCTAACACTTAGTATCAAGGAAGTGAACCACCAGGTGGTAGACACATGACAGAATTTGGTGAATGAATGAAGTGTCTCCTATCCAGTGCCATTACTGACAAGAAAACAGCAATTTTGTCTAAATTGGCTGTTGTTGTTTGGACTTTCTGTTCAGGCAAATCTCTGTGGCCACATCAACCCCCCTTTGTTTGTTTGTTTGTTTTTAGTTTCTTTTCCCCTTGTTCCCTTCCTAATCCCTCAAAAGTCAAGTATACTTGAAATCAAGAAATATTAAGTGACAATCTTTCCTTCCCCTTACCCCCCCCAAAAAAAATCTAGACTTGTTCTCATGAGAGATACAAAGTAACACTTTATAATCCCACAGAATGATAACCTCGAATAACATTGTTAAATGTAGGTATGTGGGCACTTGTATTTGTGCCTCTGTGGGCACACGCCCATGCCAGGAGTGAGGGAAGGTGTGCTTTACTGTAAAAAAACACAGCATTGCTTGAAAAGTGGTCCAGATCATGTCTTCACTATGGGCATGATATATGTGCCTTGGACTAACTAGTAAGCCTGGCTCTGTTGTTTGCCAGATACGTGATCTCTAGAACTCCACCCAGGCCAGTCCTCTTGTGGGTAGGTAGGAGAAGGGACAGTATAATGATGACTTAATTGTTTCGTGACTTCGTGCCCCAACACTGAGTTTGAGAGCATCGTGACATGAGAAAGGTTTAGCGCAGGCTTATTGTCTTCTTTGGAGGCAGGCTGCATTAGCTACGGTCACATAAAGAGGGATTGTTGCAAGATAGACTGGCCAGGAGAGCAGATGACATATCTGATCCCTGTGCAACAAAGACACAGTCATGACACAAGGGCTTGGAGTGGAATCTGTTCTGATTCAGTGGGGAGCAAGCCAATTAAGTGTCTTCTTAAGGCTCCTATGGTGATGCTTTTAAGTCAGTGCAATTTGTTTTTATGATTAGTCAGCCTGTTGATAATGTATAGGGTTTTGGGAAAGATGTTCCACGGTCTTAATGTATCCCTGCAACACTTCTAGACAAATTACTCATTAATGCCTCTGTCATAGATAAGTTGCTAAAACTACACTCGTTCACATGGAGACAAACCTTAGAGGTTTGAAGGGAAGAGCCCTTCATTTTATTTGTTGCAATTCAGTGGCAGTTTGCCAAGGTATTTTTTTTTTTGAAACAGGAACTCTAGGATTTGCTAGAGTTAGAATTGTCTGGGCTTTTTTGATCATTTCACAGAGATGATACACAACCGCAGACAGCAGAGAACACATCTCATGAAACAAAAGAATGAGAGACAATGCCTCCAGGCTCAGGTGGTGGGCCACATCCCAGGCTGCTGACTCTCCAGCCTGGCAGCCCCCGGGGACAACTACCCTTGGGGGTGACCTAATGTCCCACCAATGCTGAGGGAACTTGGATCCAAAGGGGGACAGTGTCATTGGGCTGATGAGGGTCCTCAAATGGTCCTGCCTGCCTGCCTGCCTGCCTTCCTCCCTCCCTCCCTGCTTCTTTCCTTCCCTCCTTCTACTTCTTCCTTCCTCTCCCACCCTCCCTCCCTCTCTCTCCTTCTCTTGCCTTTCCTTTCCTTTCCCTTCCTCCCTTCCCTTCCCTTCCCTCCCTTTCCTTCCTTCCTTCCTTCCTTCCTTCCTTCCTTCCTTCCTTGGCCTTGTGTATTAACATACACAAGTGCTTTACCACCCAGAAAACCCTCCCTGGAAGATAATTTCTTAAAGCCTTTGAATATCTGAAACAGTGTTCAAGCTAGTGTTTTGCTCACAACTATTTGCTAGTATAAAGTCTGCAAAGTAAAAATCACTAACTCTTGTGTCTCTCTGTCCAGTCTGTAGCATTGGGTTCTATCTATGTTTTCTCCTTTATTCTATATGTGTGTAGGTACTAGGGGTGGAACCTAGGGTTGATTCATACTAGGAAAGGCCTTTCCCGCTAAGCTACACCCCACTCCTTGTTTTTCTTTTACAACAACCCTGAAAAGCACATGGTATTACTAGGTATGCTTTGTAGATGAAGTGACACAAGAGCACTAAGGCTGCTGGGCATGGGTGGCTCATGCCTGTAATCCTAGCTACACAAGAGGCTGAGATCTGAGGATCTGGGTTGGAAGCCAGCGCTGGCAGGAAAGTCTGTGAGACTCTTATTTCCAATTAACTACCCAAAAGCAGGAAGAGGAGCTGTAGTTCAAGTGGTGGAGCACTAACTTTGAGCAGAATAGATCAGGGACAGAACCCAGACCCTGACCGACCCTGACCCCAGGACAGAGAGAGAGGGGGGGGAGGGAAAGAGAGAGAGAGGGAAGGAGGGAAGGAGGAAGAGAGAGAGAAGGAGGGAGAGGGAGAGAGAGAGAGAGAGAAACAGACAGACAGACAGAGACAGAGACAGAGACAGAAGGAGGGAGGGAGAACACTAAGGCTAAGAAAGGTTATCTTGCCTAAGGTCACACAGCAAAGAGCTGACTGAGCTCTGATTCAAACCCTATCTGTGCTCTAATTCTATGCTAGAAAAACCACTTGTGAAGATATCCACCACTATGATTATCACCATAGCAAATTAGAAATACCCAGAGATGCTAACAAAAACTAAATGCATGGGATGATCCATTTAAAGGTTCAAATATTTACTTGTTAATGGTATGGAACCTAGCACCTCACACATGCTAAACATGCATTCTGCTACTGAGCTATGCCCTTCACCCTCGGATTTTCATTGAGGACATGAAAGATCTGAACAAATGGAGAGTCCCTGAATGAAAACAACAATGTGAAAATGACCATGTTGATATTCAAACCAGTCTCCTAAATTAAAGGAGCAGAATAGAAAATTCCCAAGCAGTTTTCAAGTGTAGGTAAACCTTTTATATATCATTAAAGTTACATTTTGAAGCAAGTAAATAATTCAATGGTCTTGAAAGAAGTTATCCTGGGGGGAATCCCCATCAGATTTCATGCTGAAATTCCAGGTAAGTTTAAATGGTAAAAGGAAAAATGCAAAAAATATATAGGTCAGTAATCGCTAACCTTTTTGTTGTTTGGTGTTGGTACTGGAGCTTGAACCCAATGCCTGGGGACTGGTCTCTTAGTTTTTTCACTCAAGACTAGTGCTCTACCACTTGGGCCACACCTCCACTTCCAGCTTTTTTTTTTTCTGCTTAATTGGAGATATGAGTCTCAACAGACTTTCCTGCCTGGGCTGGCTTCGAACCATGAGTGGCTGTAATGTGAAGATAGGCCACACAAATGAAAGTGTGCAGTCTGGAGACTTCGGCTCTGTAGAGATGGATCTTAGAAAGGTTCTCTCTCTGCCACCCAGTTTCCAAGAAATGAAACTTCTTTCCCCAGGGTGCCACAATGGAAGGGTGTGGTAACACCTGCTCTTCAGATCAAACATTTCTTTGTGCTGGGAGGAGGGTGTGAAGTATGAAACGTGGAACCCTTTGGGTAGGTCAGCAGTCTACCACTGAGCCACATCCCCAGTCCTCCGAATTTCTTCATTTGCAATCAGATACCCACACTAAGTACAGTTTGCTATAGAAGTTATTTTGTTCACTTCCCAGCTGCACATGAAGTCCTGCCCTCCTCCTCTTCCTCTCCCCCTCCTCCTCCCCCTCCCTCTCCTCCTCTTCTCCCCCTCCTCCTTCTCCTCTCCTGCTCCTCTACCACTTCCACACTTCTTCCTCCTCCCTCCTCCTTCTCCTCTTTCTCTTCTCCTCCTCCCTCTCCCACTACTCCTCCTCCCTTCCCCCCCCTCCCTCCCTCTCCTCCTCTTCTCCCCCTCCTCCTCCCTCTCCCACTACTCCTCCTCCCTTTCCCCTCCTCCTCCCCTCCCCCTCCTCCTCCTTCTTCTCCTCCTTCTCCTACTCCTCCTATTCAGTGGTTCCTCCACTGTCTTCACAACTGTACCCCAACCAGTACCACACACAGACATACACACAACTTCTCCCCTGTCATAGACAAATCTATCTATAGGCCTAGCATCTAAATCAGGTCTTTGTGGAAACATCTAGGATTTTTTTTTGTTTTGTTTCTTTATTCTTTTGAGACAGGATCTCTCTATGCTGTCCAAGATGACCTCCAGGAAAATCAGTCAAGCAATCTTCCTGACTCCCATCTCTAGGGCAGCAGGGATTAAGGCCTGCACCACTATTCCTGGCTAAGATAGGATGTCTTATTTTTTTATTTTTGGGTCCGGTCATGGGGCCTGAACTCTGGGCCTGGGTGCTGTCCCTCAGCTCTACCACTTGAGCCACAGTGCCACTTCCGGCTTTTTTCTTTCTGCTTATGTGGTGCCGAGGAATCAAACCCAGGGCCTCAGGCATGCAAGGCAAGCACTCTACCACTGAGCCACTGTCCCAGCCCCAGGATGTCTTATTGAAGTAGGAGTTAGAAGACTACGTGCTCTACGCACACCTATGAGCTAATCATTCAATCACTTCTTGGAGACAGAATTCACTGAAGTAGAGATGTCCTAGAATTTGGGTGAAGGAATGTAAAATTAAAACAAGTAAGGAGGGGTCTGCAGCCTGTAGCCAACTGGATAAAGGGGGTGGAGGGGCAGGTCCACTGGGGTGGGGGGGAGAAAGCTGTGAAACAAGGTATGTGGCAAAGATAGCTGAGCTCAAACAAAAGCCCAACTTAGCTAACAGCACAGCCATAGTCAAATACTGCGTCTGTAATTTTTGTCAACTCACATGACTGAATCTCAATTCTATGAATTCAAAATGACATGGAAAAGGTACCTCCTGATCCTCTGTGGGTATCCACAACATGGGCTTTTGAAGCACACACCACACACACACACACACACACACACACACACGAATCACAAACTCTGGAGGGAAAACACACAGAGTAATAATCAAAAACATATTGGCATCTATTCATAAAGAATCGGATTAGATTTAATTAAAGCAGGGAACCCCCGATCCATCTGGTTCTCTGGGGAGAGGCATGTGAACGAGAGCTGGGGATTACTGCTTGGCATCTGTGGATTTTCCTCCTCAAGGATGGAATATGAAATTCAAACTGACCTTTGTCTCAGCAATTGGAAGCTGGACAGCCTTCATGTTCTGACCTTTCGCGCTCCCCAGAGTCACCTCTGTCTGGAGTGGCCACCTCTGCCTTGCTTCTTGGAAATTCACTATTGTTCTTTTCTTTTCTTTTTAATGTTACAGTGACCCTGAATCCTAACACTGTGTGTGTTGCTGATGTTTTCCAAAAGAAGCAACCCTGAGGGAGCCGCGGGGCTTGCCAACAGAGAATGGAGGGGATATGAATTTAATTAATTTCAAATCAACAGAGACACAGAACCTTTCCCTGTTTCTTCCAACGCCCACGCCTGCCCCGATGCCATCACCTGTATTTGGAAGAATGAGCGATTGAGAAGTACTTGGAAAGGCCTGGCAACCGGCCTAGACTCCCAAGGTGGAAAAGGAATCAGGGGAGCCGCTGGCTGCTGACCAGTGGGGGTTCCCACCTCAACCAACTCACATCTGACCTCACTCACTCTGGCCACCCGAAGTCCCCAGTCCCTTTCTGCTTGGTTCTCGGGATTCACATCAGGACACGGTTTCCCCTATGGTCTCCTGGGTTAGTTCATTACCTAACCCGCTTTGGGTGATTTCCTCTCATCACACAAGCCCTCTGATGGCTCAGTTCCTTCAGCGGGAACGTTCCTGTAGGCTGGGAAAGTTACGGGAAAGACACTGAACAAAGCAAACATTGCAATGTCTATACCATCCTTGTGGCGTCCTAAGTCCCTTCTACCAAGAAGACAAAAGCGCGAGAGAGTACTCAGTCCCGAGAAGATGTGGCTGGATGATTTAGAGACTTGAACTTGGTCCCACCCCAGTCTCCCTTTGGGTTCTTCCTGAAGGAGCTAGGAATCTTTAAAGAAAGAACCAGCATTTTCCTTCTTGGCTACATGCTGTCACTTGTCCCATGCAGCTCATCATACCTCCCTGGCCTGTGATGTACAGTTGGGGCATTTGTCACCCTTGCTGCCTCTCAGAGATCTTCAAGATCGTTTGAAAGACACAGGAGTAGAATGGGCCATAATCTGTGGCAGGTGTCGCTCGAGTGCTCTGCATTCTTTCTTGCCACTCTGGAACAAGTCTCCTGTCCTCAGCCTGGCACGCCAGGGTCCCCTCAGTCCATCTCAGATGATATTCTGTGTGATACTTTGTTGCCATCCTTGTATTGAAAGCAATGACCCACAATGCAGAAGGGCTGTGAACCCCCACCCCACCCCCAAATCATCTATGTTCAGAACTCCATTTAAGCCTCAGTTTTCAAGTTCTGACCTTTTAAAAACAATCTAGTAAATTGAGAGTCCCTGGTTCTCCTCTGATGCTTGATATTGTGTTCCAGGAAAGGAACCTAGAGAGAGAGAGAGAGTGAGAGAGAGAGAGAGAGAGAGAGAGAGAGAGAGAGAGAGAGAACTTTTATTTATTTTGCTAACCACATATAAACTAAGGGGAGATGAGGTTAACCAAACTTTTGCTGTTGGATTTGTGTTTGAAAGGCTGCCTTAATGCATGACAGAACCCCCTAATCCTGCCTTTTTGAGCTCCTTTAATTTTAAAGGCAGAGTTCCAAGCCAGGGAGGTCTCTCTATTCAATGGAAGATCCAACTATCTGGTTGTATGAAACCACTACTCTCCCAACACTGCCTAAAGCTCTGACAAAAGACCATCCTCACGGTATTCAACTTCACCAGATCATCAGTCATGTCATTAGCACTTTCTAACACGGCTCTTTGTTTTCATTGTTATTTTACATACTCATAATCAACTTATGGTCTGCATTGGTTCTCACATATTTATGCCCCAATTGGCATTTTCTGAATTATCCTAACTTGCCATTCTGGTCATGTTTGTTACTTTAATCTTGTTTTTTTTTTCTTTCTTTCTTGGAAGCTCCATTTGCTTCTTTCTCTATTAGCTATTGAAGATTTTTTCTTCTTTGGAACATTCATGTCTTTAACCTTGGTTCCTATCAAATAATTAACTGTAGATGTTCTCAGAAGTATAAGGAGTCCTAGAATCTCACTTTGATGAAACAATATTGTATTCTTATTCAATATGTCAGATACCTTGAAATTCCAGAAGAAACAAGCTTTATCAATATGTCATTGACTTTATATCTGAGAAATGTATTGGCCTCTTTAATTGCTCAATGCACAGGCAAATTTAATTTTTTAGTTTATTCCGGCAATATATATGGAGCATTAATCTTAGCACCTGCATTTTTATTACTATCAAATGTGTATTATATTTGTATGGCAATTCCAAGAATGACTCTTAAACCCAAACTTAAATTTGTGTTTTAGATTACTGTTTGTAAGAAGAAAACCTTATTAACTTGCCTGAATTGAAGAGCCCATCAAAGTACATTATAACTTTAAAATATTTGGAAGCTGGGACTGAGAAGTTGGCTCAGTGGTAGAGTGCTTGCCTCGCATGCATGAGTCCCTGGGTTTGATTCCTCAGCACCACATAAGCAGAAAAAGCCAGAAATGGCTCTGTGGCTCAAGTGGTAGAGCGCTAGCCTTGAGCTGAAGAGCTGAGGGACAGCACCCAGGCCCTGAGTTCAGCCCCCATGACTGACTCTCTCTCTCTCTCTCTCTCTCTGCGTGTGTGTGTGTGTGTATGTGTATATATTTATATACACATATATATGTAAATATATATGGAAGCTACATGGTTTATTATATTTTTTTGTCATTTTAAGCACATGTGATCAACATAGGATTGCTTAGTTGAACTCCTAGGAAACTTGTTTTGATAAATGTGTAAAAATATCCACCGGGACTTCTAACCCAGTGCTGTGGTCCCCCTCTGGGAGGGGTATTTGTATCACAGGCAAGCACACAGCTTGGATCACGCTTGAAACCCACAGGGTGCAGATGCTTCCTCCGACTTCTGTAGTTCTGGCAATGGAATTGATGTCAATGTAAATGGATGCTTAAAAAAATACTTCTGTCTATTCTTTTATTTGATCTTATAAACATCCATTTATACCATCTCTGGAAAAGGGCCTTACGTTGAGTAAACATAAAATGTAGACATTAATTTCATCTTCTGTCAGAGTTAGTGCAAATTCTGAACTTAGTGGCGTGATAAGACAGAGTTTCCCACTGGGAAGACGATGCTAAAATTCTCATAGTGGGGAAACATTGAAATTTTATGCTGAATTCAATCATCCCATGTGACTTTTTTCACATTCAGAAGACATGCAGGATGACTTCTGGAGTTCTGTTTTCATCGTTTGTTACAATAAATATCCAGAGCATCAGCTTCACATATAAATGCATCTCTACATATGTGACATCAGCCCAGAACACTGGGTATTACCGAGGATTGAGGTTCGTATATTCTGTGTAGTTGTCAATCATGGTAAACCAATCAAGTTATACAACCTATGGGTTGAATGGTTTATTTTTCCAGTCTCTCTTTGGCATTGTCCAATAATGTCTTATCTGGTATCCTAATTTAATTTTCCTCTTGGTCCCCTTCAGGCTATTTTGTTTTGGCTTTTGCCCTAAATAACGTGTCATGCTCATGAAATAGTAATTTATATAATTACATAAAATTGAACTTTTAGTGAACTCTATGCATGCTCTAAGTTCTTTTTGAGATGATATTTTAACAGGTCAAATTCCTAAAATGGTGTGATATGACAGGAGGACTTTCCTGTAAGCTTTGTACAAGAGTCTAGTGCGGTGTTGAATGTTAGGGCAATCGAGGTGGGGAGGGGTCTTTTGGTTTGTTGATGATGGAATGTCCAATGTCGCAGAGGGTCCAGATGACCATACGTCTCAGTTCACATTGTCATCACATTGTCATCAGTGGCCTTTGGCATTTTGTCAATAAATAATTGGACTTTGGCAAAAAGAATATTCCTGTTTCAATTTCTTTAGCCTACATGTATAGAACTAAGCAAATGAAATGTCTCTCCTAGAAATTGTATGAAGCTTTCTTTTTCTAGGCTAAAAATCACTTGAGAGTATTGATCCTATTACTCTGTCTTAGATGAAACACCTGAAACTATAGATAAACATCGGGACACATGAAAACTTGGCATGTTAATGGTTGCCAGCTTGCACAAAGAACAGAGATTACAGGTATTCAGGGGGTGAAAAAATTTGTCTAGGCCAATAATAAATTAATACATGTGGATCTCTTATTTAAAGATGGCCGGGTAATGCACTCCTATGAGCCCAGCTATGTAGGAAACATAGGTAGGAGGATCATAGTTCAAGATTCATCTGAGAAATAATGAAGTTAAAAAAGAGCTACAGGCATGGTTCAACTATAGAACACTTGCTTACAAAGCATGAAGCCCTGAAATCAAAATCTAGTATGGGCCAAAACAAAACAAAAACTATAACAACAACAGCAACAACAAAACACTGTGTTCAGCTTCTAACTTCCCTCCCTCCCTCCCTCCCGCCCTTCCTTCCTTCCTTCCTTCCATCCTGCCTTTTCCCCCTTCTTCACCTTTCTTGTGACAGAGTTTTGCTTTATAACCCAGGCTGGCCTCTAACCCTATGCTACCCAGGCTCATCTTGAACTTATTATTGTCTTGCCTTGGCCTCCTGAGTGCTAGAATTACAAGTCTCTCTCCTTTTTTTTAAAATAAGCAATGCAAAGTCTTTAGTAGGTCAGTTAGATCAGCAAATGTCTAATTTATCATCTAGCTTTTATTCTAGCACTGTATAAATTCTGACTTGTAAACTTCATATAAAAATTGTCAATGTCAGGTATACATCTATGCATAAATTATTCTATTCTCAGCTGCCAGGCTTTTAAAATAAATAGCATATGCATATTTGTATTCTAAAACACTTACTTAGTAATGATAAATTGAAAAGTATTTTTGAAGTTAATTGAAAATAAAGCACTAAAAGGAGAAAAGGCTAGTTCATATTACTAGTTTCTATATAAGTGAGGCATATCAATATTTAGAATAAAACTTATTTGAAGATAAGATTTTTTTTGGAAAAAATCTTGTTTACTAAGAGTAAAGGGCTATGCATTTTACTGAAGGAAAATTCTTTAACTTCTGGGACTACAAAAAGAACTTCTATTTCGAGTTTTTTAAATTCTTACCTTTTCTAAATAACTGAAACAATACTAAATCACAAATTTCCCATAAAATTAAAGTGGCTTTATCCACAATTGGTTAGCCTAAAAATTAAATGGATTTCCCTTATATCTCAAAATTAGTTTTGTCTTTCTTGACCTTCCTATTAAAGAGTTTTTAAAGAACGAGACATTGTTTATGGAATGTAATTGTTTAAAAAAAAACCTTAGAAATACTTCTTTTCCCTGGTTACTTTTCCTCAAGGCTTCCATTCTGATCTCATCTTCCACAGTGGACATTATGCAGCGTATGCCTGAATGGTGGTCAGAACATGTAGTTAACATGAAGACCCCAGCCTAGGTGGCTTCTTGCAGGCAGAAGTCCCCCAAAGTTCCCAGCCAAACTAAAGCCTGACCAATCACAGCATCAGTAACTCTCTGCTGCATCCTGGATTCCCTTCCTGTTTCAACCAGAATGTAGTCAGTGGTTGAACAGATGAGCCCCAAAAGTCAGACAACCCCTAGTCAAGGAACTGATCAAGATAGAATAATCATCTTGAGCTGCCTGCTGGTGTCTCACAACTGTAATCCTAGCTGCTAAGGAGGCTGAGAGCTGAAGATTATGCTTCAGTGCCAGCCCAGGCAGGAAAGTCTA